TTTGGCAGGTCCTTGTGGCACTGAAAATAATAAGTTTAAATTGTTCGTGTTTTCACCCTGTCTTTTTTTGTACCGTATGGTCATGGACTAGGAGTGAGAAGAGTTCAGACCTTTTTTTTTTTTTTTTTTTTTTTTGAGTCTGTCCTAACTTCTGACTTCTTGATTCTGGTCTAGACTTAAACTGACATAGCTAGTTTGCCATTTAATTCTAATTTTGTCTGTTTATCCTCCAGTTAAGCAGTAATGATTTTTTCATGTATAGTCTGGTTTTTAATTAATTACTCTCCACTTAAGGGAGCATGTTATATTTGGGAGCTAAGACCTGCCCCCTTTGTCATGCCTGCTTTTCCTTGGGCAGTTGGATTATTCTTTTCATGAATTACATTTTTATGGCTTTATGTAAAGCATTCTGCTGATAGGTCTTGAGATTAAATTACTCACCACGTATCATGGATTTTCAGGTTTATTTTTCACCTTCTGGCATTTTGGATGTGCGTGTGTGTGTGTGTGTGTGTGTGTGTAACAATGACCATCACAAAGCTTAATCGCACTTAATTTTCAGGTTATTAAATGTTCCTGAGTTCATCTTGCTTGGCTTTCTATGATGTTCTGCATTTACAGTTCAATGCTTTATAAATGCAATTCATTCTTTTACTTCGTTAATAACTTATAAGCTATGGCTGTAATGTCTGCAGACTACGTCTTTGATTACAGACAGTGTGTGGATTATCTGTGCATTAGAGCACGACCATAAAAGCTTGGCTGTCACAGAAGCTCAAAGATCTCTCCCTATCGATATCTATAAATTGCAAGCTCCTGCTCCCCGGAGCACGAGTGATGTACTCATGGGTGGCTTGTCACTGTGCACTTTCGGTGTTTCCAGATGTGTCACATCAGGCATTGCATGGCTTTCTCAGTGAGCTTCTGTCATTTTCACTGTGGCACTGGGCTCTGGCAAAGGCCTGCTTTCCTCCTGATGGAAAGCAGCCTGATACAATGGAGGTAATGTCTTTAAAATGAATGTTTATACAATAACAAGTAGACACTGAAAATTATCCCAAATTTAAAAGAAAACTGTGGTGACTTCATGAATCTATGTTAAGCAGATGACATAGGCCAAGAAGCAGACTCTGAGCTAGCAGTGACCCTTCTCACGACTTCAGAAAAGTATTCCTACACACTGGAGGTTAGCCTTTTCTGTTCTTTTCAAAAGTTTTTAAAATTATCCTGGCATTGATCCTTTTAATTGTTTTATTATCTGTAACCTCTTTCCCTTTCTTTTCCTCCGAGTTTATCTGTGGAAGAACCTAGGCCCCTTGCTGTCTAAGGTTCCTTATTTTTGCTGATTGCAGACTGCTGTCTTTGTCAGTTAAATATACACTTCTTTCCTCCGTATTTTCCACAAATTGGAAGCCAGATCCAGAGACAGCCTTGCCCCTTTGGTAACATCATAAGCAGTGATCCATATAATTACAGGAGACGCACGGTACATTCTTATTTTTTGTGCTGTTGGAAACTGTTCATGGTCACCTTCATTTACTCTTCTGGAGGCTGAAACTTCTGATACTCAACTCTTTGTGCTAGGAATGACTTTTTCATTTCTTTTTCGTATTTGTTCAATTGATAGTTTCTTTTATTAACTGTTTACCTTCCGATGCAGTATGTTAGAGAAACAAGAATAGGTGCTTTAACCTTTGCTTTATTTGGTAGTTTTCAATTTAGTGAGAGCGTTCTCTGTCATGAGCCAGAGATGACTGCTTCTCTTCTTGTTAATATGAAGTTGGGAATTTAAACATATATGGCAGGCTACAATTGATTTCAGTAGCTATGAACCTTGAAGCTTTGGTTGTTCCACCTTCAGTGAGGGAATTTCCCCATTTCCTCCTGTGTCCTTTGTCATGAGCGCTTCCTTGCTACCTGGCTTTGTGGGGAGCTCCCTGTTTTCTGCCCCCACATCTTCAGTCAGCCTTTCATCCACAATGGCCCTGTTTGCCTTGGTGAGAAGTTGGTGAGAAGTTGGTGAGAAGTTTATACAAGTGCTGAGTGCTTAGCAGAACTCATTGCTGGACTGTTTCAGCGAATACAGCTATGACCTGTATGCACATATTTTTAAGGACAAAAGTACCTACAGAATTCATATTGATGTTTAAAATTCAGGACCAAAAATATCTCATTTTCTCTTTTCTCGAGTACAACTTCTCATATTTTTTCCCAGTCTGTCACGCTTGGTTGTCAATGGCATAAGTAAAGACAAATTTAGAGTATCTCATAGTTACTCATGTGTTTTATCACGCGTTATTTTGAATATTTATAACACAGCTCCGTTGTCAGCATGTAAACCCTGCATACGTAAAACATTCTTTTCCATTTCACCCTTATACTAAAAGCAAATGTGCCCACCTGCAGGTAAGGTGAAAAGATGGAGTAGTGATCTGAGAGGGCTAACCGCTCAGTCTTTTCAAGAGCAGAAGGGGTACTGAGATGCGTAGTGTTAAAAGACTTAGGTGGGTAAGTGCACCTTCAAAACAAAAATCTGATAGAGGGGACAGGCAGCAAGAACTGGCCAGTCCTGCATAAGGACCGAGAAACAAATGACCCAAGTAAAGTTGACCCTGATGGAGAACATAAATGACTTGAATAGCTGGAGGGATAAATGAGAGGAGTATTAGACATCGGCGGGTAGCATTGCCTCGTCCCGGATGGCCTGCCATCCACTTAGGAAGACTGTGTGGTGATGATGTGCTAACTGAAAAAATTCATATATATTACACACACACACACACACACACACACACACACAGTTTTTCTTTGTGTGTTTCATAGAGAAAAAAAATTAGATGATTTTACAGCTTTATATTTCAAAACTTTTGGATGTAGCTGCTTTTTCTCCCCATTATCAGGGAAGTGAGCAGTAGTGGAGCAGAATGGCTGGGCGTGGATGAAGAATTAATAAATGAGGAAAAGTCCTTATTGGTACTTTGTTTCCTGAAGCTGCATTGCATGCATTTGCACACACATATCTACTGCAATATATATATTACATATATATGTATACAATGTTATATATAATATATATATATATATATATAATTTCCAATATGTTTAGCATTGAGGTATTTATATGTTGGGTTTGATCTTCAGCAATGCAAAAATAAATAATAAGACAGTAGATTGCTACTTTTGTAATATTCAGAAAATCATAGAAAACATTTTTAAAATAGCCTTTTTCCTGCAAGTCTTCTATCATCTTCTTCCTCTTCCTCTTCCTCTTCCTCTTCTTCTTCTTCTTCTTCTTCTTCTTCTTCTTTTCTCTTTTCTTTCTTCTTCCTCTTGTACCTGAGATCGAACTCGGGACCTTGCTCTTTTGAGGCAGGTGGCAGAACCACGAGCTAAATCCCCAGCGCTTCTATCTAGGTTTTTTTCTTTTTCTTGAAATTTAGCACACACATAGTGCCATTGATAGAAGGCTGGAGCCAGTGGGTACCAAGGAGTTGTTAAGTTTATAGAAATTTTAAAAACCAGATGATACCATGTCGATGGTTTGAATTTAGTGGTGCCGGGGCTACTGAACATCAGAAACTGACCAATGCTGTGAATTAGCCCTTTGAATTTTGGTTGAAGAATTCACTATCCTGTATTTTATAAGTGCACTTTATTGTAGTTTTCTTAGATTAACTGTTACACTGTATTTTATTGAGTGAGTAAAACTCAGGAATATTTGGACCTTTCTCATATTTACAAATGTTGCTGATTTCAACATCCTGGAATATTTCTCCTTGACCCCATATGCAATAGCAATTCAAATATACGAATACAGAAATAAAACTGCGGGGTTCCTAGGTTTGTGTATTTCCAACTTTATAAATGGTAACAAATCATTTTCAAAAATCTTTCTCCCATCTTAGATGACCAACAGTAATTCTAGTGCTGTTTGGTTTCCCATGTCTATTTCTATGAAATGACAATGTAAGTGTTATGGAAAGATTCCAGGGATCCTTAGAATTTCACTGACAGGAAATGATGGATGCTCATAATCAGCTCTTTCTCATAGTTATGGATTTTCTTTGCACTTTGTCTCTCTGGCACATAGAAGTTTAAAATGTTTAAGTTAACAATCTCCTTTCATGGTTATTAGTTGTATACATTTTCTCATTTATTGCCTGTCCATTTTTAAAATTGGGTTGTTTATCTTTTTTCTTGTTGAACTGTAGAAGATCTTTACATATCCTAGCGATTTATCCTCGTACAGTTATATCTTTGACAAATATCACAGTTTCTGCCCCTTTTTCATTTTATTTATAATGCCTTTCATCATATACAAGTTATAAATTTTAATGTAGTTGCCATTTTCAATCTTTTCCTTTATAGTTTCCAATTCTTGGTCTTGTGTGAGATACCCTGATATCATAAATATGTTTTTCAGTTTCATTTTGAGCGGTGACAGGTATGCCTTTAACATTTAGGCTTTTTTGATTACTTCTTTTAAAATGTATAAAGTGGCTGTCATTAATGCCAAAGAGATAGGAGCCTGCAAAGAGTACAGTGTTTGTGGTGACTCTAAACTGTTCATGGGTATTTTATTGTCATTCTGTGGCAAATACTTGCTACATAATAGAAATACAGAGATTATGGTGGACTCACACAGTATCACTCAGGCAATGTGTAGAAAGGTAAACAAAGCTAGCAAATGTGCTCTGGAAGGGTGTTGGCAGTGAATCATTTGCCCTCCTGTTAATGCATATATCCTGGCATAGCAATTTTTGACAAACTGAGATTTCTGTGGTAACATCAGTTCTACACCCTTAGAAAAATCCAGGTGTTTACCTGCATCCTTTTACAGAATGAATAACAATGGTAAAAATTTATGGGTCTACATAGACATTTTCCTTCGAATTTAGCAACAAGAGTAATTTGTCACAGATATTGATTGTGTGCCAAAATGCTTGGGATTTATGGAAAGGTTTAAGGACCTGTTTTTAAAGATTGGTTTCTGTTTGCAGAGACGAAATGGAGAAGATATACCTGTAGCCCAAACTAAGAACATCAATCACAGAAGATTTGCTGCTTCCTTTAGATTGCAAGAAGTGACAAAAGCTGACCAGGATTTGTACCGGTGTGTCACACAGTCAGAGCGAGGTTCTGGTGTGTCCAATTTTGCTCAACTTATTGTGAGAGGTAAAGTTGTTTTCATTTTATGAAATTGCATGCCTTTATTAAAGCCAAAGCAATTTTGTAGACATACCATTATGCAAGTTCTGATAATGTGTTAAGGCAAAATTAGGTCTGTTCTTGTAACATTCATCGATCAAGTCCCCAACAAATGGTTGTGATCAAAAGAAGTCTGTCTTATGATGCTTTAATAGGATAAATCATATAAATCATCTCATGCCTTATTACCTTCACCTAGTTTACCTTTCAAATTTAAATCTATTTTTTCCTGTTCAAAAACCATTGTATAGATAATATCGTAATGCTTTATTTCTCAAAATATCATGACACTGAAGTCATGATGTCAAAGGTTTTGTTCCCATGTAGACCTGTGAAGTTCACTCCTAGGAACCCCCGCATTAAATCTGGCCCCCTCCCATGTCTTGTAAAGTTAGAACTTCTCACAGCTCCTCAGAAATATTTTTGCATACTAAAGTTAGAAGAATATGAGAGATTAGGTATAGGAATATGTGTTTGTAGCGAATTCTGGGCAAATATGTACAAGTAGGAAACATACTTCGCATTCATTCAGAATTTGCGGAGTCCTTGTTATATATTCAACCGTGTTCTAGATTTTAAGGTTAAAGTTGTAGATAAACTACAAAGTTCCTGTCCTCATGGAGCTTAAAATTGAGATACGTTAGGTATTTCAGTAGTTGAAAACGTACTATTAAAGTATGGAGAATGTAGCAACGACATCTGATTGATGCTGTGAAGAAAGAGAATAAGATTGCTGTTTTAGTAAAGGATGGTTTGGAGGGTGATAGCTGGAACCTTAAATGAGGATTTCAGTGATGTGAAAATTTAGAGGGAAACAGCATTGGTGAATAGCATATTAGACATCAATCAGCATGGACACAAGTGGACATCATAATAACTGTAGAAGTTATCTTCACACAGAAGCTGTGGAGATCCTAAGAAAAACTTCGAACTGCTATGAAATTTGCTCTGTCAGGGAACTTGTGGCTGTGTCTTCTTTGAGGTGGGATCTGGAAGTCAGAGAAAGGTGCCCCCTGATGGTTCTGGTGGAGGTAGGAGAAAGCAGCACCTGAGGCCAAAAAGGCCAGCGTGGGCTACGGCCCAGTGTCTGGAAGGAAGCATAAGATTTGACCATCATCACGTTACTGTTTTTGCTGTGCTCCATAATGAATGCCTTTCACATTCATTATTTTAAAGTTTGTTCGATTTTAATACTTTAATAGCATCGAGAGAAGGAAATTGAAGTTAAGGTTATGTGGTAATTTGCCCAACATCTAATAACTGCCAGAATCAGAATAGAAGCCCACGTTCTGCTCTCTTCCTGATGAGCTCATGGTTCCACCCCAGCTTTCTCTCATGTCAACATTCCTAAATAATCCTGTTAGCTTCTCGCGTAATCCTTGTCCTGGGAGCCCGCGTAGTCCATCAGAACGCTCAGTCTCTTGGTTGGATAGGATTTTACTTCCCGTGAAGCTTCTCACGTCTCTTTTGTAGGGTTCTGCAACCTGCTCACGTTCATGAGGTTATAGCCCTTGTTTTTGAACCAGTGGGGCAATGTGACGGCATTTGGCCTCGGGTTTCCGATGGAGCAGCAACTGCTTACGCGCTCACCTGTGAGCGTGTGCTCAGCTTTGCCGCGCGTCTCAGTCCCTGAGCCTAATTTTGAAAGCTGGGGCTTTTCTTGGGAAATCTCCAAGTCAATGGATACGCTGCGGTTATGGGCGAAGGGTGTGCTGTTACCACACGCACTTCCCGTCATTTAAATACTGCGTTTGTGTTCATAGCATGCAGGCACAAAATTGATGGATTCCCAGTGGTCACCTCGAGTGTCCTGGGGTACCTTACATCAGATGTAACTTAATGCAGTAAAGAATACATGAATGTAGATACATGTATTATATGTGACATATTCTATGTATATATACATACGCTCTGCATATTACTGTGTGCACTTAGTTGCATACATATTTAGCTACACATTCGGTTGTACATATAGATGATTTTCTTGTAATTTTTAAAATTTTCTTTTGGCATAGATTGTTAAATGCAAAGATTTTTTGAAAAATTGGCTCCGTCCTGTATTTAGTGGGTAGCTTGGAGAAGACATTGCTGTTACTTTCATCCAAGTCCTTTCTGTATAGATACAGTTCTTTCTCATGTGTAGACGTGTCTTGCCTTCATTCTAAAGGGAAATACTTGTGTCACTGGTAGGTGTCTCATTTTTCTTTTCAGGGCTCTGTGCTGTAGAAGGAACCCAAAGCTCATGTGTGCTAGATGAATCAGTTCTCCTTTACCTGCGTTAATTACAAAGTAGATTTTACTATTTCCTCCGAACTTACTGTTCTTCACTTGAAGATAACTGCATTATTTCATTAAAATATGAGCAGAGGATCCTTAAGTTTCATAGAAAATGGTGCCTGTATCTTACTTCCTATAGAAAGTCCTTCCATTAAATATATAATTTTGAACTTTATATTAGAGAGGTTGATTTCAAATATAATAGGGCTTTAACTGTGTTATCCAGAGTCTGCCAACATCTCAAAGATATATTTTGTTATGACAGTTTTATTTTTTAAACAGATTTTAGGATCTATAGCTAATACTAACAGATAATACCTTACTTGCTGTTCTATTTGAAAACCAATATAGCTGAATAAGATTTCTTGTTTCTTCACCACATAAATATTGCTAACCAAAAATACACCATTGGGGTCAGCTGTCCTGATGCTGAAAGTGACTTGAAAATTAACTAGGATGACAGTTCCTGTCTCTCATTGGCACTTTTAAAGCTAACATCCTTTTACATGCATACAAAAGATGGTAATTTTATAGGAAATTTTGGGGGCAGTGATATGAGTAGTCTTTAACAAGAGCTGGCATTTGTCAAAGATGTCCCGTGGGTAATAGTTTATTAGTGCATTTGCTGTTAAACTGAAAGTGACAGGTGTGCTTAGGGCTATATTGTTGCTGTTTGCTGTAAGTAAAAATTTCCCTGCAGAATTCTCATGCTGAAGAGTATTGATCCGTGCATTCCCATAGCCACCGAAAGAGCAGGGAGGGATGGTGAGACGGAATTTACTTTCCATGACTTTGATGCCACTTCCCAATCCTCCTGATTTCTGGTAGCATTTGCAGCGTGTGGAAGCCAGTCATTATGGACAAAGAAGTTTTCATGGAGACAAGCTGAAGGGGAGACATTTCTGTGCACTGATACTCCAAAACCGGAGCGCAGAAAAAGTGAAATACATCCTCACACATGAAGCATCAGCTTTGTATTCCATGCCATAGATTGTTTTACCCATTCTCTGCCACATTTGTCACCCTTTCCCACCTGCCTAAATCCAAAAGCCACTTAATGCCTGTAAGCAGCTGACCCACAATAAACTCTAGAATTTCTCTGATGGTTGGGGTGGGGATTTAGCTCAGCGGTTCGGTGGCCTTACAAGCACAAGGACCTGAGTTCAATCCCCAGTACCAAAAAAAAAAAAAAAAAAAAAAAAAAAAAAAAAAACAAACAACAATAGTGACACTCAGTTTGAATTCTGATGGTTTGTTAGGTTCCTATGCAGTTTTGTATTTTTTTTTGTTTTTTTGTTTGTTTTTTGGTACCAGGGACCGAACTCAGGACCGTGTGCTTGCAAGGCAGGCGGTGGAACCACTGAGCTAAATCCCCAGCCCTGTTAGGTTCTTAGGTAAAGCATTTTTTTTTAACCTGTAATGCTACAATAACCTCTTAAGTTTTTAATATGAAAAGCACAGTATTTTACTTATTGTTAATGCCTTAATTTTTACATATAAATGCCAACTATCAACCAGTATCAAAATGCTTTTGATGTATTAAATTATAAATATTCAGATATATTTATGTATTCATAATAACAGTGACCCCTAGCTGCAAACTGGAGTCATTATCAATCCATTCACACAACCTTACTCAAAGTGTGCACTGAACTTTACTCAGAGTTCATGTTTAAAATTGTAAAAAAATCGCATTGATACTGATTCTTTGCCTTGTAAGGCAGTATAAGCCAGCTTAAAATTGGGAGTATTCACTGACGTTTGTAACTGGAAGGAGACAGGCTTTGGAGTTGTTGGGCCTAGTCATGAAGCCCCTAGGTTTTTGCATTTCTGTACTCTGTAGCCAGTGCTTTTGGATTCTACCCAAAAATGGAAGTTCATCCCATAGTCACAGGATGACCACGTAATTATATGCTTCCTTGTTCTCACACACTTGGGTTCTAAGAAGTTACTATCTCCCACAGTTCTCTTCCTCACTCTACTACCCTTTAAGATTCAAAAACGATGGCCCGACGTGGGAGAATTCACTAGAATGTCCAGTAGAGATCTGTGGTACACAGGCTCCCAGAGGATAAACAGTGTTAGTAGAAGGTTAGTTATTCCTTCTTTTAGGTGATATGGTTAATGAAGAAATGTTTTAAGAAAAAGCATAACGGACTCTCAAATGATGTATAGACTTTGGAATATGCTAGTACTGGAAAAGGGTGTTACCATAAGTCAAGCAGATATCCATCATCTGGTAATAGGTCTGTCGTAGTTATTTGGTCAGTGGTGAGTTATTAATGATGCCACGTGCTTAGTACCAGTGCCAGTATATTTTGAAGGAGAAAAGTTAGAACTAACAGGATTTGCATCTTAACCTTTGTAGTTTATTTTCATTTCATCAAACCTGTATAGTTCATATTTGCTTACCGGGCACCTAGTGCAATCTTTATTTCAAGACACTCAGTATTTTTATCAAAACTAACAAAGAAAATTGTTGAGTTGAAGTCAGAGCATGGGCTACCCCTGGCCGATTCCAGAGACGGGCGATGGGCCACGTCCCCCAGCAGATTTGCCAAGGTACCGGAAGTGGGGCCGCATATCGGAAGTGGGGATGTTAGTTGTAATTTATAGTGTTTGAACCAGTTGCCTTCCGTTCTCAAAGGAACTAAGGGTGATTTTCACTTCAAGTAGTTTTCACTTGAGAA